GGTTGAGAGAAAAGTTATCCCACACTGATTGCTGGTTGGATTGAAAACTGGTGCAGTCACTATGGAAACCAGTGTGGAGAATTCTCAGAAAGCTGAAGACAAATGTACTATATGACTGAGGTATACTACTACTTGGCACATGCCCAAAGGACTCAATATCATACACCACAGATACTTGCTTAGCCATAGTCATTGCTCCTCTATTCAAAATTTGCTAGCAAATGGAAATAACCTAAATGTCCTTGAACCAAGGAGTGGATAATGAGAGTATGCATATACACTATGGAATACTATTATCTTAGAAGAAAAATGAAACCATGTAATTTGCAGGTAAATGAATGGGACTAGAACAGACCATATTGTGTGAGGTAACATGGACCCAGAAAGACATATGTCACATGTTCTCTCTTTGGAGTCTCCTAGCTTTAAATCTTTAGATATGAGTACATATAATGGAGTAATTGCAGAAACCAGGAAATGAGACCACTGCCAGGGTGAGTGTTTGTGGGATCAATAGAGAAGAATAGCAGGGTACAAATGATCTGATTGGTGAAATAGGAAAAAAGCAGGATTCTAAATTAGGGAGTGAGATGGGAGAAAAGTATGGGGAGGGAGATGGTAGAATAACCATAATGATATCTGCAAAAGTCATATGAAATCATATTATTAACTACATTTTAAAGCCCCATAATACATGTAAGTTTGTATAAATACACATGTAGAGTTTAAATAAAAAATTTTCATTTGGACTCACAATGTTCACTGCAAGAGCCAAGGACCACTGTGGTGGTTTGAATGAGAATGTGAGAATGATTCCTATAGACTCACATGTTCGGATGATTGATTTTTAGTTGGTGGAACTGTTTGAAAAAAATAAGGAGGTGCTGGGTGGTGGTGGCGGCGGCGGCAGAGCACGCCTTTAATCCCAGCACTGGGGAGGCAGGGGCAGGCGGGTCTCTGTGAGTTTGAGGCCAGCCTGGTCTACAAAGCGAGTTCCAGGAAAGGCTCAAAGCTACACAGAAAAACTCTGACTCAAATAAATAAATAAATAAATAAATAAATAAATAAATAAATAAATAAATAAATAAATTAGGAGGTATGTCATTGTTGGAGGAAGTGTGTCACTGGAGGTGGGCTTTGAGATTTCAAAAGCTCATACCCTCCCCAAATCTCTTTCTCTGCCTCTGTCCAACTTGTGGATCAGGATGTAAGCTCTTAGCTACTGTTCTGGGGCTATGCCTGCCTGTCTGCTGCTATGCTCCTTGCCATAATGGTCATGAAATCACCATCTGAAAGAATCACCATCTGAATTTAGAAGGAAATAGACTAAGCTCTACCCAACCTGATGTCATGAGGCATCTTATCCCCTTTTCCAGATTCTATCAGAAACAAGTCAGAGGCATTGCCTACATTTAAAGATGGGGGCCATTATGCAAAATCATGAACACCAGGAGGTGAAGATCACAGGGACCCCTAGACCTCCCTGCACAAGGTGTTACTATGTCACTGCATGTCTGCATGCATAAAAATCAACGACAATAAACAATTGCTGTATTCTGTTCATCCTAGCAGAGCATGGAGGAAGAGTGCTCATTTCTAGCTATGGCTTAAGGAAGCTTCCTGGAGGAGGATACATTTGAGCTAGTAAAGTATGGGAATTGTAGGATTATAGTCACAGGGGCCTCTTCCTGACCCCTGGGGTCCACATGACCCTTGGCTGAGCAATCCCCACATCTGACCTTTCTGGATGCTTCATGACATCCATGACACTTAGAGACACAGACACATCCAACATGCACACTTATAAACACAGATTCCCCTGTCTAGTACAGTGGGGTTGACAGTATAGTCAAGTTTGAAGCAGTGAGCTGAAGTTCACTTTCATCGTCAGGACCAGATCGGGCCTTTCTGGTTCAGGCTGCTAGAAATGAGTTGACCCAGTCCAGCCCATCCCAGCCAGTCTTGTCAAAAGATCCTATGCTACACAGTCAAGGACACAAAGGGAAGACTTTGTAGAGCCAAGTGGAGGAACTGCTAGGGCTGTAGAAAGAAATAGCTGGAATAGTTTCTCTCTTAACAGTGGTACAGGGTAGTCAAGACAGAAATGTCCTGTGGAGCCCCAGGCATGTGAAGGGTGTCACATTTCTACCGTGGTCCCAGCTGGACTTTGCTAGGTGCATTTTCACATACATCAGCTCACACATGTCTGCACACTGAGCCCCTGCTCTGTGCACACGCACTCTCAGAGGTGACAAGTTTGCTTCTGGATGCCTGGCCTGGCTTGGCTCATTAGTCCTGTGCTCTCAGCTGGGGTTGGGTGGCTGCCAATCTGTGGCAGGGGAGTGGCCAGAGGGCAGGCTGCCCTGGATCACGCTGCCAAGTGAGCTGCCACTCACAGATGTGGCTATGTTGGAAACAGTTGCCAAACCCAGGTCCTGGTGCCCTCTGGAACAGATAGTCCTCCTTGCTGGTCACCTCCCACTCTGGCTCCCTTCCTTTCCTGGGTCACCTTCCCTTCTCCTGTCCTTTCCGCTTTCCTTCTTGGACCTCTTCTCTACCCTGTGCACATCCTGCTGTTCCCATTGACCCCATGTGGGGCCAATTCGACTGCACTCTATGGACATCTGGGTGCTTTCTCAAGCTCTTCCTGTCTCTAACATCTCTTTCCACTCACTCCTGCTTCTCTTCCCTCCCATCCCTCTGAATCTACAGTAGTTGTCTTTCTGTTAAACATCAGCAGCTAGGCATAGTAGTGCATTTCTGTAATCCTAGCATTTGGGAGATTGAGGCAGGAAGATTGCTATGAATATAGGCTAGAAAGAGCTATGCAAGTACTAGGCCAGACATGTCTTGAGACAAGTGTCTTTGAGACCTTGTCTCAATAACAACAACAAAAACAAAAATAAAACAGCAAACACCACCAGCCCCAATTCTCACTATATGAACTCTCTTTTACTGCCCTAGACTTATTTAGTGGGCTGGCAAGAACAGGGATCTGGAACCTACTAACTTGATTTTTTTTTTAAGCTTTTAAAAGAAGCATTTATTTGTAGTATGTGCATTACAGGAAACACAACACAAGAAGCCAAGAATAGCCCCCCAGTCACAAGCAGCTCAGCTTAACGTGCCCTTCTAGGCGCTGCAAGTGTACACACATTTAGGGAACTGAGATTATACAGGATGTACCATGCTTTCCCCCACGTTGCGAATATTCACCAACTAAAAACCCCATGCTACAGGAGTATTTTGATAACCAAGAATACACCACGCTATTTCAATCTGTCAGACAAAACTGTAATCCTTTCTTCCTTGGCAACAAAAATTTCATAGAAGACAAAAATGGCAGCAGGCCTCTAGATAGAAGTACTGGTGAAGTTACAATTAAAATTCTGCATTCCTCAATGCTCAGCTTACAAGAAAACAAAGCCACAGACCACATGAAGTACAGCATTCCTAAGTTTATCATCAGATCTATATACTAAAATATGAGGAAGAAGGCGTGTTCCTTCCTCATATTTTAGTATATAGATGTGATGATAAACTTAGGAACCTACTAACTTTAACTGTGTTCCTGACCCTCTACCCCCACCTATGCCTGCAATTCTAATTTATAGGCATATAGGCCCAGCCTGGTACCGGGGTGCAGTGAGAAATGGTTTCTTTTCATACATACATCTGTTTGTTAATGCACCCCCATCTCCAGACATCACACACATAAAGTGCATGGACACCTGCATATACAAGGTCTTCACAAACAGCCTTGTGGCAAGATGAGCAAGGAGGCAGCGAGGTGAGAGTCCCAGGCAATATCAGTGCACCTGCATGGAGGGAGTCAGAGCAAGCCGCTCTTCAACACAGCAGCCAGCAATTTCCATGTGGGGTTCCTGTTCTCCCCAGGTCTGCCCTGCGCTGGCTTTGGGTACCCTCATTCTCTTGAATCAGTTCCTGGGATCCTTTCTAGGGGCCTGTTTGGCTTCAATAGGCTTCAGGGTTGTAAATCCCGGTCTGGAAAGGCCTGTAACCTGAGGAATCAGAAGGAAGCCCCAGCCCAGGGATGGGATGGCTTCTACCTGCTCCTCCATTGGCTCTGACAGCACTTCAGGGTTATTGAAGGGCTCCCAGGCTGCCTTTGGGGGCTCTCATTGCCCTCAAAGAAGGAGGATAAATCTGAAGTAATTAAATGTAGGTCATCTAGCTGTAAGCCCGCCACAGCCCACTACAGCAGAGGCGTGTTTGCCGTGGGGCTTGGCAGGTCCACCTTCTCAGCCAGCAGCATTTGCATGGCTACCCTGGGTACCTGGGCCTGGAGTATTATTTTTAGAGTCTCAAACCCTGGGATCAAAGCCTCTGCCCCTCCAAGTGGTCAGGGCACTGGCCCTTGAAGCTCCCCTATGGGCCTTTCCTCTCATCCAGACCACCTCAGGCCACCAGTGCTGCTTAAAATTGAGCTGTAATACACTGGGGAAAGCCCCAGTCCTCCTGGGTCCTCTGAGTCCCTTCCACTTTATTTCTTTTACCAATCATAGGTCCATCCACCTGCACACATGCATACAAGAACAGGGACTCTGGAGCTTTGGTGGTGGGGTTGAGGGGCCAGGGCTCTAGCTGGGGCAGCTGTAGTCTGGCTCATCAGGCCAAAGGACTTGGTCTCAGAAGGCCTGTGACTCACCTCATGGGGCAAGGGACTTCGAGGTGTTACCTTCATCTTAAGCTGAGTAGGGGATTTCTCCAGACTCAGCTTCTCAGACTCTGAGTTCCTGGAGCCATCTTGGTCCCTTGCCTTCTCTTTTTGCATGAGATGGAAGCTCATGGGGCAAGGAAAGCCAATGGAGTCAGAGAATAAATCTAGTCTTTAGAATTCTCTGAGTTCACCAGGAATCCAGGAACTGAAAGCTTATGATCCTGTCTTAAGATGCTCCCTGTTTAAAAAAAAATGCTCTCTGTTGTGAGACTTTGGTCACCTGCTCAGATGGACTCATTTTTTTTTTTTTTCGGTAAAGACAACACTTCTGGGGAGTAGTAAATGGAGTTGATCAAGATGAGGTGTGTCATGAGGCCATAACAGCCAGAAGAACAGGTAGGCCACCCAGCCACAGAACTCTCCCACTTCTGCTTGATTCCCCCAGACTCAATCTGCTGCCATCTCTTCCCTCCCAACTTCCCATCCATGCTGCCCTGGACCAGCCCCAAACTTGGGCAGACATACCCTGCTCAAGTGCAGGCCATGCCAGCTACAAGAACAAGTAGGACACCCACCCTCAGAACTTCCCACTTCCATGCTTCCCCCATATATAATCCTTCACCACCACTCCACACTCCACTTCGCTGTGTCCCTGACCCCAACTTGGACTGACAATCCCTGCTCAAGTGCAGGCTGCACTAGCCAAAAGAGCAGATAGGTGAACAGATGGGTGAACTCGGGCAGAGACCTTCTGCTCTACCAAAGACTGTGGAAGCTGCCAGAAGTCCAGGAGACTGCTTGCCCATGGAAGTGCTCCACTCTCTTTGCATGCCTCCAATATCCCCAAGCTGCTGGATACAAGATTAACTCACAAAATAAATAACCCTCCTATATTCAAATAACAAATGGACTGAGAAAGAAATCAAAGAAACAACATTCTTCACAATAACTGCAAGTAATATACAATATCTTGGGGTAGGTAACTCTAACCAAGCAAGTGAAAGATTTATGACAAAAACTTCAAGTCTTTGAAGAAATTGAGGAGGATACCTGATGATGGAAAAATCTTCCATTCTTGCCATGCTCATGGATTATTAGGATTGATGTAGAAAATCCCAAAGAAGGCCACAAAACCCTGTTGTAACTAATGAATTTAGCAATGACATAACGAAAGTTTTATATTTATATACTAGAAATGAGAAAGTGACTAAATATACCTTTCATGGTAGTATTAGAAATATAAAATAATTAGCAATAAATGTATTAAATAGACTTATATAGTGAGAATTATTAAACGTTTCAGGAACAAGATGTCCAATTTCAAAGGTTATCTAAATAAAATCAAGGCCTTAATAAGATACAGTAGAATGGCATTTTAAAATTCAAAAGACTGGCAATGTCAAATGTTATGAATAACATGAGAAAGCTCCATTGTTATTTGATAGCTTGGAGTATTAAATGTTACTCTCACTTTGGGCAAGTATTTGAAAAATGGGCAAGCATTTGTAGTGTCTATGCATATATAATATAAACAATCTTTTTTCTAGATATTAACACATATGATATAAAAATTATTTGTGGAAAGCATTGTTCATATTTTTTCTTAGCAGCTTTGTTCAAAATGAAAACAACTCAAATTCTACCAACATCTGATTGGATAAACATATGATGGTACATTATATGTATAGAATGTCACATAGTGATATAAAGCATAAGACTGTCATAATGTACTTTTCATGAATGTCATCTTGATCTAGTTTTGAGGGCCTGGCCAGTCCTGCTTTTAAGTAGTTCAGTCAAAATACCCAGCCACCTCCTTATAGAACTGCTACAGTCTTGTAACTTCATGCCCATCTAAACTGTTTATGTTTAGGTGCCAATCAGAGACAACCACTATTACCCAAAAGCCATTGAAGGTATTCAAAACAGCCAAAATTATTTCTCTCCCAACTTATTCCTTCATGCAGGAAACTAAAACAAAACAGAACAAAAAACCACTTGGCCTTGATTTATTTCTGTATGTCTCATGGTTGATGGTACTACTTCTGGTATGATAGATGTGAGGGTCATGGTAAGAATTGTAAGGGAAAGAAAGGAATGCCATATTATTAAAATGTTTTGTATTTCTGTATGAAATTCAATAAAAAAATCAAATACATTTCAGCCTTTAGCTAGTTACAAAATAATGCTAATTAAAACAATTAAAATCCAAAGTTAACATTGTTGGTATATAAGAAAGCAGCTGATATTTGTATATTAACAGTGTCCTGTAAGCTTGCTATAATTACCTGTTTGTTTCCCCTTTCCTTCTTTATCACTTTAAAAATTTTTATAACCTAACAATTGTATCAACTGCAAATACATTTCTTTTCTTTCCATCTTTACACCTTTCATTTATTTTTTTCTTCTCTTAACTAGAACCTCCTATATAGTTCTGGAAAGAAACTCTGAGAAACATTTAGGAAAGCTTAAAGTGTCTATCTATCAAAAATGGTGCTAGCTGTACCTCATTATTCTTTTCTGTTTTCTTTATCAAGTTGTACTAGTTTTCTACCTTTCCTAGTTTCCTGGCAGTTTCTTCCCAGAGTAGGTATTTTTCAGACCTTGTTAAGCCCATCACTGTAATATTTATATTTATTAAGTTGTAGAACAATCCTTAGTTTCATGAGGATCCAATCAATGAGTAGCCCAATCTTTACATCAGGATAAAATGAAAGAATTTTCTAGTGAGAAAGTGTTTTACATCTTGAATGGGGTAGTACTTATTCTTCTAATTTACACATTTATCACAGTCAATGATCTCTTCACTGAAAATGAGTGAAATATAAGTAAATTGTACTTACAGTTCATATGCTAACATAAAAAGACATATTAAAGAGTAATTTAGAATCAACTGAAATGTTACAAGCATCGCTGACCAAAGGCCTGGCTCTGGGTCCAGATGCACTACATTGAGAGAGGGAGTGGGGGGGGGGTGAGGTCGAAGAGGGTGGAGATGGAGAAGAGGAGAGAATAAACACCTATATACATTAATAGCTTGCTCAAAAATAGTAAGAATTTTGAGTCTCCACTTTGCTCACATCAATGTTGTAACATAAAAAAAAAAAGGAAACAAAAGCCAGTAAATATACATGTGTACTTTATCTGTGGGGCTCAGATACCATAGATAACTTGAAGATAAATCGTTCTTACAGTGCTAGCCTGGTCTTCCCTTTTAAGGGAGCTGGAATTAGGAACAACAACAAGACAAACTTTGAAAATTGATTCTAATTCCTGGGATTCAATAGTAATCCCCTTCTTTTCTTTATTTTTCCCTAATACTGAGAAACTTCAGACACTATTATCTATTTGGCCATCTGTTACTATGGATGAGGGTGCCTGCAGCACACCAGTAATAGGTTCCCAAGCTTTTGCCTGAAAGGAATGGAGAAGGAGCCAGTGACAGATGATAGATAAGTGCAGCACCAATTGGAAGGATGCACGAGATGAACCAGAACTTTTATACTGTCTGTTCTCATTGCAGCTTTTTGGTGGGGGCAATTTTAGTCTTTCGAAACTTTTTGTCTAAAAACATCACTAATCTTTCTGTACTTTGGTTTCCCTGAGGAACATATGTGACTTGCTGTCATCTGGTCTCATATAGGGGAATGACACTGTAAATAAAAATATCTTTCTACATAATCTGAGGAAAGATAAGTTTATGCCCACAGGGTAGTGAAACTCTTAGCCTGGGAATATGAGTTTTTGTGGAGAATCATGGTTAATAAATAGATTTACATATGGTCAAAGTGCTGAGAATAAGTGACTGATGAGTCTTCAGGACATCTATGCTGTCTCCTATCCCTAAGACCTAGCAATTTCACAAGAGAGAAGATGGAATGATTTAAGAGTCTGAAGATGAAGAAGAGTCAAGAAGCACTGACATCCAGATATGGCACTGTCATTGCTGCCATGAGCATTGATCATATATGGATACCTGTACAAGAATAGGCCTTCTAACTTTCTGTTATGAATAGAGATTTCCATGAATTTGCATCCTTTCTTAAGAATTTAATGGCTGGGAATGGCTATTGCAGAGGGAGTGTCCCTTTTTTTCTAATGGTGTAGTCACTGGGAGAATAAGTAGGAAGAATAAGGGAATAAGACAGGAACGAAAGTGGATATAATGGGTGGTAGGGAATGCATACACTGATAATACATTTTTGTGTATAAGAGAAACCATCAAAAAATTTAAAGAATAGACACATGCAAAGAATGAGAATTAATAAAGCAAGATTATCCCTTACTAACCATACACAGACATCTCATGTCATCTGAAATAATATTGACAATGCATGTCCACGATAGTAAATTAGCAATCCAATTTTAGGTATTTTTATAGCACGTTAAAACAACAATCATGATAAAATTCTACTGGGAACACCAGACTTTAAAAAACTTGAAAACTCTTATAGGATCTTATATAACCAGAGTTATAAATCAAATTTAATTCAAAAGATGTTCAAACAAATGCTTAATAAAATTTTATGAGAGAACTTTAAGACTAATGATATTTTGTATCCTGATAATTCCTTTTGTTTTCTCTTGTTAAATTGTAGCTGGAGAGTTTCTCTCCAGCTCCTGCCAAGCACGGGCAGTCCAGCAGCCCACTTATAAAATAAACACACAGATGCTTATATTATTTAAACTGTTTGGCCTAATGACTCAGGCTTCTTGCTATCTAGCTCTTACATCTTAAATAAACCCATTTCTATAAATCTATACCTTGCCACATGGCTCGTGGCTTACCCATATCTTACATGTTGGTACTCATGGTGGTGGCTGGCAGCGTCTCCTGACTCAGCCTTCCTGCTCTCAGAATTCTCCTCTCTGCTTGTCCCGCCTATACTTCCCGCCTGGCTACTGGCCAATCAGCATTTTATTTATACAGAGTGATATCCACAGCATTAAATATTTTGATTACTTGAGGTAACATAATTTCAAGAAAAAATATTATTGATATTTCATGTCATATCACATAAGCAGGTTTTATTTTTAGGCTAATGAAGCTGCAGCTACCAGTTATTAAAATAGTCTTTGTGACATTGGGGATAGTATCTATGGGCTTCTGCAAGGCAATCAGCAACCACTCCTCTGACTGAGCTATATTCCCAACCCTGAAATATCTTCCCCTCCTTCTTGCTCTTCTTTTTCTTTAGCTTGACACATGTTCATAGGAACATGGATGAAAGGTTGTATCTTTTCCTTTTTTGTTGTTTAAAAAATTGAGAATCTCATTTACTATTATTCTAATTATACCATTTCTATCCATCCAACTCTTTCCAGGCCCCACCTATATTGTTCTCAAATTCATGGTCTCTTATTTATTTATGGTCACACACACACACACACACACACACAGTTCATATGAGTATGTTCTTAGTACTGACCACTTGGGAATGGATAATGGATAATCTATTAAGAGACTTTTCACAGGAGAAGATCAATTTCCTATCTCTCAGTAGCCATTAATTGCCTTTATCTCTTCATCTAAGGGTGAGGCCTCATGAAAATTCTCCCATCCATGTTGAGCTTTTGAAGTAAAAAAAAAAAAAAAAAAAAAAAAGAAAAAAAGATGTCTTTCTAAACTGAGTGTTACCTAAAATAGATGATGACCATTTACACCTCAATTATCAAGTGAATTATTCATACAAAGTATAGACTTTAGAGTATTTTATTTGATGGACAAACATGGCCCTCAACTATACTAGAACTTTCTTGCTTAAAGTTCATTTCATTTAAATTATTTCCAGGTACTTACTGCCTCATGGTTGTTCCATGTTATAAGGATCCTAGAGTAAGCTAACATTAAATGATATGTTATTGTTGAAGATGGTATTCTCCTACGACTCTCTGAAACTTGAGGAGTAACAAAATGTAACAAAATTGAACTATCGATTGCTGAACTGGCATGAAGGAAGAATCATTGTTTCATCAAATTCTCCAGCTAGATCCTCGGCTTTAAAGAACTGTGGGCTTATGCTGTGGGTATGACTTCTAACTACTTTTCATCAGGAACATCTGCTTAA